TACTGGGGTTTTTAGAATATTGGAGGATATTACATATAGTTAGACTGATCTTATCTTACCTGGTTTTAGATATTACATATAGTTAGACTGATCTGATCTATACCTGGGTTTTAGATATTGGAGGATATTACATATAGTTAGACTGATCTGATCTATACTTGGGTTTTAGATATTGGGAGGATATTACATATAGTTAGACTGATCTATCTATCCTGACCTGTGTTTAGATATTGGGATGATATTACATAAGTTTAGACTGATCTGATCTATACCTGGGTTTTAGATATTGGAGGATATTACATATAGTTAGACGATCTGAATCTATACCCTGGGTTTAGATAATTGGAGGATATTACAATATAGTTAGACTGATCTGATCTATCCTGGGTTTTAGATATGGAGATATTACTATATTTAGACTGATTGATCTAGACCTGGGTTTTAGATAGTGGAGGATATTAACAATAGTTAGACTGATCTGATCTATACCTGGTTTTAGATATTGGAGATATTACAAATATAGTTAGACGGATCTGATCATACCTGGTTTTCGAATATTGGAGGATATTACCTATAGTTAGACCTGATCTATCTCTAACCTGGTTTTAGAATATTGGGATGATATTAATATAGTTATACTGATCGATCTCTACCTGGGTTTAGATATGGGATGATATTAATATAGTTAGACTGATCTGATCTAACCTGGTTTTTTAGATATTGGGAGGATATTAATATAGTTAGACTGATCTGATCTATACCTGGGTTTTTAGATAGACATATAGTTAAGACTGATCTGTCTATACCTTGGTTTAAGATATTGGATGATATTACATATAGTTTAGACCTGATCTGATTCTATACCTGGTTTAGTTGGAGGATATTACCATATAGTTAGATATGCTGATCTATACCTGGGTTTAGATATTGGGATGATTTACATATAGTTAGACTGATCTGATCTATACCGGGTTTCGAATATTGGATGCTTATTACATATAGTTTAGACTGATCTATCTATACCTGGGTTTTAGATATTGGGGTATATTACATATAGTTAGACTGTCTGATCTATACTGTGGTTTTAGATATTACATATAGTTTTAGACTGATCTGATCTAATTACCTGGGTTTTATATATTGGATGATATTACATATAAGTTAGGACTGATCTGATCTATACTCTGGGTTTTAGGATATTGGAGGATATTACATATAGTTAGACTGATCTGATCTATACCTGGTTTTAGATATTTGGATGATTTACATATAGTTAGATGATCTGATCTATACCTGGGTTTTAGATATTGGATGATATTACATATAGTTAGACTGATCTGATCTATACCTGGGTTTTAGATATTGGGAGGATATTACATATAGTTAGACTGATCTGATCTCTACCTGGTTTTAGATATTGGAGGAATATACATATAGTTAGACTGATCTGTCTATACTGGTTTTAGATAGTGGGATGATTTACATATAGTTTAGACTGATCTGATCTATACCTGGGTTTTTTAGATATGGATGATATGACATATAGTACACTGATCTGATCTATACCTGGGTTTTGATATTGGGAGGATATTACTATAGTTAGACTGATCTGATCTATACCTGGGTTTTAGATATTGGGAGGATATTACATTATAGTTAGACTGATCTTGATCTATCCTGGTTTTAGATATTGGGATGATAGTACATTAGTTAGACTGATCTGATCTATGCCTGGTTTTTAGATTATTGGGATGATAGTACATATATGTAGACTGATCTGATCTATACCTGGGTTTTAGATATTTGTAAGGATTATACATATAGTTAGACTGATCTGATCTATACAGGGTTTTAGATATTGGAGGATAATTACATATAGTTAACTGATCTGATCTATACCTTCCTGGTTTTAGATTATTGGGATATATTACATATAGTTAGACTGATCTGATCTATACCTGGGTTTTTGATATTGGAGGATATTACAATAGTTATACTGGTCTTTATCTTACCTGGGTTTAGATATTGGGAGGATCTACTATAGTTCGACTGATCGGATCTATAACCTAGGGTTTAGACTTTGGGATGATATTACCTATCTTTAGACCTGTCTTGATCTATACCTGGGTTTAGATATTGGAGGATATACATATAGTTAGACTGATCTGATCTAACCTGGGTTTTTGAGATTGGGAGGATATTAACATAGTTAGCTGATCTGATTATACCTGGGTTTTAGATATTGGGAGGATATTACATCTAGTTAGACTGATTCTGATTCTATACCTGGGTTTTAGATATTGGGATGATATTACATATATTAACGATCTGATCTAATACCTGGGTTAGATATTGGGAGGAATTATACATATAGTAGCTGATCGATCTATCCTGGGTGTAGATATTGGGATGATATTACATATAGTTAGACTGATCTGAATCTATACCTGGGTTTTAGATATGGAGGATATTACATATAGTTTAGACTGATCGATCTATACCTGGGTTTTAGATATTGGATGATATTCATATAGTAGATGATCTGAATCTATACCTGGGTTTTCGATTGGGGATATTTACATATAGTTATACTGATCTGATCTCTACCTGGGTTTTAGATATTGGGATTCATAATTACTATAGTTAGACTGATCTGATCTATACCTGGGTTTTAGATATTTGGAGGATATACATATAGTTAGACCTGATCTGATCTATAACTGGGTTTTAAGATATTGGGAGGATTTACTTAGCTAGACCTGATCTTATCTTACCTGGTTTTAGATATTGGGAGGATATTAACATATAGTTATACTGATTGATTATACCGGGTTTTAGATCTTGGATGTATTTACATATAGTTTAGACTGAATCTGATCTATATACCTTGGTTTAGATTTGGGAGGATAATTACATACATTTAAAATAGCTTAGAAAAAGACTGATCTGATCTATACCTGGGTTTTAGATATTGGGAGGATATACATATATTTTTAGACTGATCCTGATCTATACATGGTTTTAGAATATTGGGAGGATTAACATATAGTTTAACTGATTCTGATCTATACCTGGGTTTTAGATATTGGGATGATTTACATATAGTTAGACTGATCTGATCTATCCTGGGTTTTTAGATTATTGGATGCTATTTACATATAGTTAGACTGATCTGCTCTATACCTGGTTTTAGAATATTGGGAGGATATTACATATAGTTAGAACGACTTGAATCTATACCTGGTTTTTAGAATATTGGGAGGATATTACATATAGTTAGACTGATCTGATCTATACCTAGGGGTTTTTTAGATCTTGGGGATATTACATTTAGTTAGAACACCTGATCTGATCTCTACTGGGTTTTAGATTATTGGATGATATTCATTAGTTAGACTGAGCTGATCTATACCTGGGTTTGAGATATTGGATGATATCATACATATTTTAGACGAGTCTTATCTATACCTGGTTTTAGATATTGGGAGGATATTACATTAGTTTAAAACTGATCTGATCTATACCTGGGTTTTTAGTATTGGGAGGATATTACATATAGTTAGACTGATCTGATTATACTGGGTTTTAGATATTGGATGATATTACATGTTATGTTTATCTTTCTGCATGCATGTGAGAAATGCGCCTTACAAATTAAGTGTATTATTATTATTATTATTATTATTATTATTATTATTATTATTATTATTAATATTACTATTGCGGGGAAGGCCGACTTTTGCCCGCTCACCCCCTTCCCCCTACCCCCTACCCTGCACCCTCCCCCCTCCGCCCGCTTCTCCCCCTCCCCCCTCGCGACCCCCTCCCCCTGCCACGCTCATCACCCTCCTCCCTTCCCCCTCCCTCCCTCTCCCCCCTTCACCCCTCCCCCCCCTACCCCCTGCACCCTAACCCCTACCCCCCTTAACACCTACCCCTGCAACCTAACCCCTACCCCTGCAAACTAACCCTCCACCAAACTCAAAAACTCACTTCACCCCTACCCCTCCCCCCTGCACCCTAAAAACCCCCTAACCCCCTACCGAACCACTGCACCAACACACCGCTACCAACCCCCTGCGACCAAACTAACCCTACCAGATCCCGCAACCTAACCCCTACCAAAACCCCTACCCCCTGCACACTAACCCCTACCCCCTGCACCCTAACCCCTACCCCCTGCACCCTAACCCCTAACCCCTGCACCCTAACCCCTACCCCCTGCACCCTAACCCCTACCCCCTGCACCCTGCACCTAAAACCCCTACCCCCTGCACCCTAAAAAACCCTACCCCCTGCACCAACCCCTATCCCTGCACCCTAACCCCTATCCCCTCAAACCCTAACCCCTTACCACCCCTGCACCCTAACCCCTAACCCACTGCAACCCTAACCCCTACCACCTACCCCCCCTCCCCCCTTTCCCCCTACCCCTACTCCCTGCACCTACCCCCTACCCCTTCACCCCCCCTCACCCCGTTACCCCCCATTCACCCTAAACCCCTTCCCCCGTCGCCCCTCCTCTACTAATCCCCTTCCCCCTCCCCCCTGCAACCCTAACCCCTACCACCCCCTGCACCCTAACCCTACCCCCTGCCCCTAACCCCTACCCCCTGCACTAAACCCCTACCCCTGCAACCCTAACCCCTACCAACCCCCCTGCCCCCTACCTACTCCCTGCACACCCTAACCCCCTACTCCCTCTTCACCCCTAACCCCTACCACCACCCCTGGCACCCTAACCCCTACCCACCCCCCCTGCCCTAACCCCTAAACCCCTGCACCCTAACCCCTACTCCCTGCACCCTAACCCCTAACCCCTGCACCCTAACCCCTACCCCCTGCACCCTAACCCTACCCCCTGCAACCCCTAACCCCCTACCCCTACAACAACCAACCCAACCCCTACCCCTGCTCCCTAACCCCATGCACCCTAACCCTACCCCCCCTCTCCCGAACCCCTGCACCCTAACCCCCGCCCTGCACTCTAACCCCTCTAGGTGGTGAGCAGTAAATACTTCAACAGAGGGATCATGATCTCAATCCTCATCAACACTCTCAGTATGGGGATAGAGTTTCACCAACAGGTATTGGGGACTGGGGTGGGGGGGGTTGGGGGGGGGGGGGGGGGTTTAGTGTTGTTGTTCTTTGTGTGTGTGTGTAATCAGAAGTTGTGTGTTTGTGTGTGTGTGTAATCAGAAGTTGTGTGTGTGTGTGTGTGTGTAATCAGAAGTTGTGTGTTTGTGTGTGGTGTGGTAATCAGAAGTTGTGTGTGTGTGTGTGTGTAATCAGAAGTTGTGTGTGTGTGTGGAATCAGAAGTTGTGTGGGTAATCATGTGATTTTATGGACGGATTAACAAGCTCCTAATCAACACCCTGATGAGGCTAGCAGCTGTACCCTCAGAGTGTGTGTTCTCAGTGTGTATGCTGGTGTGTGTTCTGTGTGTGTGTGTGTGGTGTTCTCAGTGTGTATGCTGGTGTGTGTTCTGTGTGTGTGTGTGTGTGTGTTCTCAGTACGTGTGTGTACGTGTGTTCTGTGTCGGTGATGGGCTCTTTTCCCCTGTGTGTGTGTGAGGCGGGGGGGGGGGGGGGGGGTTTACAGGGCTTGAGGTGTTAATTAAAGTGTGAGAGGAGGGGATAGAGTGTGTGTGTGTGTTCATGCATATTCTCGGTGCGTCTGTGTTTTCCTAGTGTCGGCGTCAGCAGTCTGACCCCATAGAAACGGTTCAGCGTGATGCCGGTAGGAGACAGTATCTGTTCTGACCTCTACTCACCCTAGAGACTGGAGAATTACAACTATCCCCCACCCCCCTGGAACCCAAATCCTCATCACCAACTGGCCCTATAGACTGGAGAATTACAACTAGCCTAGAACCCAAATCCTCATCACCAAAAACTAGCCCTATAGGACTGGAGATTACAACATGCCTGGAACCCAAATCCCATCACCAACTGGCCCTATAAGACTGGAGAATTACAACTAGTCCTAGAACCCAAATCCTCATCACCAACTGGCCCTATATACCTGGAGAATGACAACTAGCCGGGCACCCAAATCCGCATCACCAATCTGGCCCTATAGACTGTAGATTTACACTAGCCTAGCACCCAAATCCTCATCACCAACCTGGCCCTCATAGACTGGAGATTACAACTAGCCTAGAACCCAAATCCTCTCACCAACTTGCCCTATAGACTGGAAATTACACTAGCCTAGACCAAATCCTCATCACCAACTGGCCCTATAGACTGGAGAATTACAACTAGCCTGGGGAAACCAAAATCCTCGTATCACCAACTGGCCCTTAGACTGAGAGAATTACAACTAGCCTAGAACCCAAATCCTCTCACCAACTGGGCACCCTATAGACCTGGAGAATTAACAACTCGCCTAGAACCCAAATCCTCACCCAACTGGCCCTAGAGACTGGAGATACCAACTAGCCTAGAACCCAAATCCTCATCACCTAACGGCCCTATAGACTGAAAGTACAACTACCTGGACCCCCAAGCCCTCATCACCAACGGGCCCTATAGACTGGAGATTACAACTAGCCTAGAACGCCAAATCCCTCATCACACTGGCCCTATAGACTGGAGAATTTACAACTAGCCAGAACCCACCAATCCTCATCACCAACGGGCCCTATAGACCTGAAATTTACAACTAGCCTGGAACCCAAATCCTCATCACCAACTGCCTAGAGACTGGAGAATTACAACTAGCCTGGAACCCAATCCTCAGCACCAACTGCCCTATAGACTGGTGGAGAATTACAACTAGCCTAGAACCCCAATACTCATCACCAACTGGCCGATAGACTGGGAATTACAAACTAGCCTAGAACCCGAAAATCCCCTCATCACCAACTGGCCCTAGAGACTGGAGAATTAACACCCTACCTAGAACCCAATACCCCTCATCACCAACTGGCCCTATAGACTGGAGAATTACAACAACTAGCCTATAACCAAATCCTCATCATCAACCACTGGCCTAATACTGGAGAATTACAACATCGCCTAGAACCGCAATCCTCATCATCACCAACTGGGCCCTATAGACTGGATAATTACACCTAGCCTAGAACCCAATCCTCATCACCAACTGGCCCTAATACGACTGGAGATTACAACATCCTAGACGCAAATCCCTCATCACCAAACTGCCCCCTATAGACTGGAGAATTACAACTAGCCTAGAAACCCAAACAAATCCTCAATCACCCCACTGCCCTATAGACTGGAGAAATTACAAAACTAGCCTAGACCCGAATCCCTCATACACCAAGTGCCCTATAGACTGGAGAATTAACCACTAGCCTAGAAAACCCAAATCCTCCTCATCAACCAACTGGCCCCTATAGACTGGAGAATTACAACTAGCAGAACCCCAATCCTCATCACCAACTGGCCCTATACTGGAGAATTACAACTAGCCTAACACCCAAATCCTCATCCACCAACTGACCCCTATAGACTGGAGAAGTACAACTAGCCTAGAACCCAAATCCCAATCCGATCACAACTGGCCCTATAATACTGGAGATTACAACTAGCCTAGAACCCAACTCCTCATCACCACTGGCCCTAGAGACTGGAGAATTTACAACTAGCCTAAACCCAAATTCCTCATCACCAACGGGCCCTTAGACTGGAGAATTACAACTAGCCTGGAACCCAAATCCGCAGCACCACTGGCCCTTAGAGACTGGAGATTACAGCTCTTAGTTGCCCTGGAAACCCAAATCCTCATCACCAACGGGCCCTATAGACTGGAGAATTACACTGCCTAGAACCCAAATCCTCATCACCAACTGGCCCATGACTGGAGAAGTACAACTAGCCTAGACCCCAAATCCTCATCACCAACTGGCCCTATAGACTGGCGAAATACCACTAAGCCTGGAACCCAAATCCTCCTCATCACCAACTGGCCCTATAGACTGGAGAATACAACTAGCCTAAACCCAAATCCTCAGTCACCAACTGGCGCCTATAACTGGATACTTACAACTAGCCTATAACCCAATCCTCATCACCAACTGGCCCTATAGACTGGATAATTACAACTCATCCTAGAACCCCAATCCAATCCTCATCACCACTGGCCTATGAGACTGGAGATTACCACTAGCCAGAAACCCAAATCCAAATCCTCATCACCAACGAACCTATAGACTGGAGAATTACACTATCCTAGACCCACATCCTCATCACCAACTGGCCCTATAGACGGGAGAATACAACTAGCCTAGACCCAATCCTCATCACCAACTGGCCCTATAGACTGGAGAATTACAACTAGCCTGACCCAAAATCCTCCTCAAACCAAACTGGCCCTATAGACTGGAGATTACACTAGCCTAAACCCAATCCTCAGTCACCAACTGGCCCTATAGACTGATAATTACAACTGCCTGGACCCAAATCCTCATCACCCACTGGCCCTATAGACTGTAGAATTACAACTAGCCGAGAACCCCAAAGCCTCATCACCAACTGCCCTAGAGGACTGGAGAATTACAACTAGCCAGAAACCAAATCCTCATACCACTGGCCCTAATAGACTGTAGAATTACAACAGCCTAGAACCCAAATCCTCATCACCAACTGGGCCCTATAGACTGAGAATTAACAACTAGCCTAGACCCAAATCCAATTCCTCATCACCAACTGGCCCGATAGACTGGAGAATTACAACTAGCCGGAACCCAAATCCTCATCACAACTTGCCCGAGAGACTGGAGAATTACAAACTACCTGGACCCCAATCCTCATCCCAACTGCCCTATAGACTGGAGAATTACAACTAGCCTATAACCCAAATCCTCATCACCAACTGGCCCTATAGACTGGAGAAGTCCAACTAGCCTAGAAGAACCCAAATCCTCATCACCCACTGCCCTATAGACTGTAGAATACAACTATCCTGGAAACCAAATCCTCATCCACCAACTGGCCCCTATAACTGGAAGAATTACAACTAGCCAGACCCCCAACTCCTCATCACCAACTGCCCTATAGACGGGAAATTACAATCTAGCCTAGAACCCAAATCCTCATCACACTGGCCCTATAGCTGGAGATTACAACTCCCTGAACCCAAATCCTCAATCAACCAACTCTGGCCCTATAGACTGGAGAATTACAACTAGCCTAGAACCCCAAATCCTCATCCCAACTGACCCTATAGACTGGGAGAAATTACAACTAGCCTAGAACCCAAATCCTCATCAACCAACTGGCCCCTATATACTGGAGAATTACAACTAGCCCTTAGAACCCAAATCTCATCACCACCTGGCCCTAGTATACTGGAAGAATTCCAACTAGCCTTGAAACCCAAATCCCATCACCAACTGGCCCTATAGAGACCTGTAGAATTACAACTAGCCTAAAAAACCCCAAATCCCTCATCACCAACTGGCCCCTATAGACTGCGTGGAGATTTACACTACCTGAACCACCCCAAATCCTCATCACCAAACTGGCCCTATAGACTGATAATTACACTAGCCTAGAACCCAACTCCCTCATCACCAACTGGCCCTATAGACTGGAGAATTACAACTAGCCTAGAACCCCAAATCCTCATCACCACTGGGCCCTATAGACTGGAGATACAACTAGCCTGGAACCCAAATCCTCATCACCAACTGCCCGATAACCTGAAATTACAAAACTAGCCTAGAACCCAAATCCTCATCACCAACCTGGCCCTATATACTGGAGATTTACAACTAGCCTGGAACCCAAATCCTCATCACCAACTGGCCCTATGACCTGGAGATTCAACTAGCCTAACCCAAAGCCTCATCACCAACTTGGCCTAATAGACTGGGAGACTACAGAACTATCCTAGAACCCAAATCCTCAATCACCAACTGGCCCTATAGACTGGAGAATACAACTAGCCTGGACCCAAATCCTCATCACCAACTGCCCTAGGACTGGAGAAATTACCTTACAACTAGCCCCTGGACCCCATCCTCATCACCAACTGAACCCATAGACTGGAGATTACAACTAGCCTAGAACCCAACTCCTCCTCATCAACCACTGGCCCATATAAGACTGAAGAATTTACAACTGCCTGGAACCCAATCCTCATCACCACACTGACCCTTAGACTGAGAATTACAAGTTCAAGCCGAGAACCCAAATCCTCATCACCAACTGGCCCTATGACCTGGGAGAATTACAACTAGCCTAGAACCCAAACCTCATCACCACACTGCCCTATAGCCTGGAGAATTACCACTAGCCTGGAACCAAATCCTCATCACCAACTGGCCCTATAGCCTGGAAATTAACAACTAGCCTAGAACCCAAAACCTGCATCACAAACGGCCCTATAGACTGGAGAAATTACAACTACCTAGAACCCAAATCCTCAAATCACCAACTGGGCCCTTCATAGCCTGGAGATTACAACTAGCCGGACACCAAAGCCCTCATCACCACCTGGCCCTATAGACTGGAGAATTACCACTAAGCCTTGAACCCCAAATCCTCATCACAAACTGGCCCTATAGACTGAGAATTACAACCTAGCCTGGAACCCAAATCCTATCACCTTCAACTGGCCATATTAGACTGAGAATTACAACTAGCCTGGAACCCAAATCCTCAATCACCACTGGCCCTATAGACTGGAGAATTTACAACTACCTAACCCAATCCTCACATCACCACTGTCCAATAGACTGGAGAATTCCAAACTAGCCTGGAACCCAAATCCTCATCACCAACTGGCCCTAATAACTTGAGATTACAACGAGCCTGAACCCCAAATCCTATCACCAACTGGCCCCTATAGACTGGAGAAATTACAACTAGCCTAGAACCCCAAATCCGTCATCACCAACCTGCCCTATAGACGGAGAATTACAACTAGCCTGGAACCCAAATCCCAATCACCAACTGGCCCTATAGACTGGAGAATTACAACTACCAGAACCCAAATCCTCATCACCAACTGGCCCTGACTGGTAGAATTCACTAACCGAACCAAATCCTCATCACCAACGGCCCTATAGTGGAGAATTAACAACAGCCTAGAACCCAAACCTCATCATCCAACTGGCCCCTATAGACTGAGAATTACAACTAGCCCTGGAACCCAATCCCTCATCACCAACTGGCCCTAAGATGGAGAATTCACTACCTAGAACCCAATCCTCATCACCAACTGGCCCTATAACTGGAGATACAACTAACCTGGAACCCAAATCCTCATCACCCACTGGCCCTATAGACTGGAGAATTACAATAGCCTAAACCCAAATCCTCATCACCAACTGGCCCTATAGACTGGAGATTACAACTAGCCGAGACCCAAAGTCCCTCATCATCAACCACTGACCCCTATAGACTGGAGAATTCAACTATCCTAGAACCCAAATCCTCATCCCCAACGAGGCCTATAGACTGAGGAATTACAACTAGCCTAGAACCCAAATCCCTCATCACCAACTGGCCCTATAGACTGGAGAATTACAACTAGCCTGGAACGCCATCCTCATCACCACTGGCCCTATAGACTGGAGAATTACAACTAGCTAGAAACCCAAATCCTCCTCATCCCCCCAACTGGCGCCTATAGACTGGGATAATTACAACTAGCCGGAACCCAATCCCTCATCACACCAACTGGCCTATAGACTGAGAATTAACATACAACTAGCTGGACCCCAAATCTCATCACCAACTGGCCCTATAGACTGGAGAATTACAACTAGCCTGGAACCCAAATCCTCATCACACTTGGCCCTATAGACTGGAGAATTACACTAGCCTAACCCCAAATCCTCAACCAACTGGCCCTATATACCTGGAATAATTAGCTAAACTAGCCTAGAACCCAAATCCTCATCACCAAAAACGGCCCTAGAGACTGGAGAATTACAACTAGCCTAGAACCCAAATCCTCATCACCAACTGACCCTATAGACTGGAGAATTACAACTAGCCTAGAACCCAAATCCTCATCACCAACTGGCCCTATAGACTGGAGAATTACAACTAGCCTAGAACCCAAATCCTCATCAACCACTTACTGGCCCTATAGACTGGAGAATTACAACTAGCCTAGAACCCAAATCCTCATCACCAACTGGCCCTATAGACTGGAGAATTACAACTAGCCTAGAACCCAAATCCTCATCACCAACTGGCCCTATAGACTGGAGAATTACAACTAGCCTGGAACCCAAATCCTCATCACCAACTGGCCCTATAGACTGGAGAATTACAACTAGCCTAGAACCCAAATCCTCATCACCAACTGGCCCTATAGATGGAGAATTACACCTACCTAGAACCCAAATCCCTCATCACCAACTGTCCCTATAAAACCTTGAGAAATTCAACTAGCCTAGAACCCAATCCTTCATCACCAATGGCCCTATAGACTGAGAATTCAACTAGCCGAGAACCCAAATCCTCATCACCAACTGGCCCTAGAGACTGGAGAATTACAACTAGCCTAGAACCCAAATCCTCATCACCAACTGGCCCTATCGGACTGGAAATTACACTAGCCTAGAACCCAATCCTCATCCACCAACGGCGCCTATAGACTGGAGAATTACAAAAACTACCTATAACCCAAATCCTCATCACCAACGGCCCTATAGACTGGAAGAATTAAAAACACTAGCCTAGAACCCAAATCCTCATCACCCACTGGCCCTATAGACTGGAGAATTACAACTAGCCTAGAACCCAAATCCTCATCACCAACTGGCCCTATAGACTGGAGAATTACAACTAGCCTAGAACCCAAATCCTCATCACCAACTGGCCCTATAGACTGTAGAATTAACAACTAGCCTAGAACCAATCCTCATCAACCACTGGCCCTATAGACTTGCGAATTAACAACTAGCCTAGAACCCACAAAAAAAAAATCCTCATCACCAACTGGCCCTATAGACTGGAGAATTAACAACTAGCCTGGAACCGCAAATCCTCATCACCAACTGCCCTATAGACTGGAGAATTACCACTAGCCTAGAACCCCAATCCCATCACCAAACTGGCCCCTATAGACTGGGAATTACAACTAGCCTGGAACGCAATCCTCAATCACCAACTGGCCCCTATAGACTGGAGAATTACAACTAGGCCTATAACCCAAATCCTCATCACCACTGGCCCTATAGACTGGAGAATTTACAACTTACCTAGAACCCAAATCCTCATCACCACACTGGGCCCTATAGACCTGGAGAATTACAACTAGCCTGGAACCCAAATCCTCATACCAACTGCCCTATAGACGGGATAATTAACAACTAGCCTGGAACCCAAATCCTCTACAACACCAACTGCCCTATAGACTGGAGAATTACAACTACCTAGAACCCCAATCCTCATATCACCACGGCCCTATAGACCTGGAGATTACAACTATCCTATACCCAAATTCCTATCACAACTGGCCCTATAGACTGGAGAATTACAACCTAGCCTGGACCCCAAATCCTCATCACCACTGGGCCCTATAACTGGAGAATTACACTACCTGAACCCAATCCTCTCTCATCCCCCCAATGGCCCTATAGACTGGAGAATGACAACTAGCCTAGACCCAATCCTCATCACAAACTGGCCCTATAGACTGGAGAATTACCCAGCCTGGAACCCAAATCCTCATCCACCAACTGGCCCTATAGACTGGATAATTACAAAGCAACTAGCCTAGAACCCAAATCCTCAGCACCAACTGCCCTATAGACTGGAGAATTACAACTAGCCTGAACCCAAATCCTCACACCACTGGCCCTATAGACTGGAGAATTACAACTAGCCTAAACCCAAAATCCTCATCACCATCTTGCCCTATAGACTGGATAATTAAACTAGCCTGGAACCCAAATCCTCAATCACACCACTGGCCCTATGACTGGAGATTACAACTACCTAGAACACAAATCCTCATCACCAACTGGCCTATCGACTGAGAATTACAACTAGCCTGTAACCCAAATCCTCATCACCAAACTGCCCTGAGACTGGAGACTACAACTAGCCCTAGAACCCAAATCCTCATCACCAACTGGCCCTATAGAGGGAGATTACACCTAGCCTATAACCCAAATCCTCATCAACCAACTGGCCCTATATCTGGAGTATTACAAACTAGCCTGGAACCCAATCCTCAATCACCACCTGGCCCTATAGATTAGAATTACAACTACCTAGAACCCCAATCCTCATCACCAACTGGCCCTATAGACTGGAGAATTACAACTAGCCTGGAACCCCCAATCCTCATCACAACTGGCCCTATAGACTGGAAATTACAAACTCGCCTAGAACCCCAAATCCTCATCACCAACTGGCCCTTATAGACTGGAGAATTACCTACCTAGACCCCAAATCCTCATCACCAACTGGCCCTATAGACTGGAGAACTACAACTGCCTGGAACCCAAATCCTCATCCCAACGGGGCCCTATAGCTGGAGAATTACAACTAGCCTAGAACCCAAATCCTCGATCAATCACCGCAACTGGCCTATAGACTGGAGAATTACAACTAATCCTAGAACCCAATCCTCATCACCAACTGGCCCTATAGACTGGAGAATTACAAACTAGCCAGAACCCAAATCCTCATCACCAACGGCCCTATAGACTGGAGATTACAACTACCTAGAACCCAAATCCTCAATCACATATCAACACCCACCTGGCCCTATAGACGGAGAAAATACAAACTAGCCTAAACCAAATCCTCCTCACCGACTGCCCGTATAGACTGGAGACTTCACAACTAACCTGAACCCAAAATCCTCATCCCCAACGTCCGCATAGCTGGAGGAATTACAACTATCCTAGAACCAATCCCTCATCACCAACCTGGCCCTATAGACTGGAGAATTACAACTACCTAGAACCGCAAATCCTCATCACCAACTGGCCCTTAGACTGGAATTAACATAGCGCCTAGACCAAATCCTCATCACCAACTGCCCTATAGACTGTAGAATTACAACTACCTAGAACCCAAATCCTCATCACCAACTACGCCTATAGACTGGAGAATTACAGCTATTCCTGAACCCAAATCCTCATCACCCACTGGCCCTATAGACTGGAGAATTACAACTAGCCTGGAAACCCAAATCCTCATCACCAACGACCCTTGACTTGAGAATTACAACTAGCCTCGAACCCAACCTCATCACCAACGGGCCCTATAGAGACTGGAGAATTAACAACTCGCCGAAACCCAAATCCTCATCACCAACTGGCCCTATAGACTGGAGAATTACAACTAGCCTAGAACCCAAATCCTCATCACCAACTGGCCCTATAGACTGGAGAATTACAACTAGCCTAGAACCCAATCGGAAGAGAAAGCGCATCACAACGGGCCCTATGGACTGGAAGAATTACACTACCTAGAACCCTTAAATTCCTATCCTCATCACCACTGGCCCATAGACTGGATAATTAACAACTAGCCCTAGAACGCAAATCCTCATCACCAACTGCCCTATAACTGGGAATTACAACTAGCCAGAACCCAATCCTCATCACCAACTTTGCCCTATAGCCTGGAGAATTTAACAAACTAGCCTAAAGAACCACAAATCCTCAATCACCAACTGCCCGATAGACTGGAGAATTACAACTAGCCTGAACCCAAATCCTCATCACCAACTGACCCTATAGACTGGAGAATTACAACTAGCCTAGAACCCAAATCCATAGTATATATATAACTATATAGTAATAATATATATATTAATAATAATATATATAGTAACTATATATACAACTATATAGTAGTACTGCCACACTGCAGACATATAACCCAGACACAGTATACTGTCTCCTACTGGCCACACTGCAGACATATAACCCAGACACAGTATACTGTCTCCTACTGGCCACACTGCAGTACTACTATAACCCAGACACAGTAATACTGCACTCCTACTGGCCACACTGCCGACATAGAACCCAGTACAACAGTATACTGTCTCCTAACTGGCCAACCTGCGACATCTAACCCAGCACAGTATACTGTCCTCCTACTGGCCACACTCAGTACTACTAACCCGACCACAGTATACTGTCTCCTCCTGTCCACACTGCCGACATAAACCCATACACAGTATACTTCTCCTACGGCACACTGCAGTACTCCTGATAAACCCAGAACACACAGTATACTGTCTCCCTACTCTTGGCCCACACTGCAGTACTACTATAACCCAGACATACAGTATACTTCTCCTCGGCCACACTGCGTACTGCTAAACCCAGACACAGTATACTGTCTCCTACTGGCCACACTGCGGTACCACTATACCCAGAACACAGTATACGTCTCCTACTGGCCGACACGGCATATACGATACCCAGACACAGTATACTGTCTCCGTACTGCCCACTGCGGTACAACATAACCCAGACCGTAACTGTCTCCTACTGGCCCCACACTGCAGTACCACTATAAACCCAGACACAGTCTACTGTCTCCTACTGGCCACACTGCAGTACTACTATAACCCAGACACAGTATACTGTCTCCTACTGGCCACACTGCAGTACCACTATAACCCAGACACAGTATACTGTCTCCTACTGGCCACACTGCAGTACTACTATAACCCAGACACAGTATACTGTCTCCTACTGGCCACACTGCGGTACTACTATAACCCAGACACAGTATACTGTCTCCTACTGGCCACACTGCAGTACCACTATAACCCAGACACAGTATACTGTCTCCTACTGGCCCACTGCAGTAACACTATAACCCAGACACAGTATACTGTCTCCTACGGCCAGACACTGCCATTACTACTATAACCCAGACACGTACTACTGTCCTCCTACAGCCACACTGCAGTATACCACTATCAACCCATACACAGTCTACTGTCCCCCTACTGGCCACACACGCCGTACTACTATAACCCAGACAACAGATACTGCCTCCTACTGGCCACTGCCTATAACTAAACCCAACACAGTATACTGGTCTCCTACTGGCCACACTGCATACCCCTATAACCCAGACACATTAACTGTCTCCTACTTGCCACACACTGCCAGCAACATATAACCCAGTCACAGTATACTGTCCCCCCTACTGGCCCACTGCATTACTCTCAATACCCAGACACAGTATACTGTCCTACCACTACTGGCCACACTGGCAGTCTACATAACCCATACCCAGAGACACAAGTATAAGTCTCCTCTCTGGCCACACTGCGGTACCACACTATAACCCAACCAGTAATACTGTCCTCCTACTGAGCAACCACCTGCAGTACGAACTATAACCCAGACACAGTAAATATACTGTCTCCTACTGGGCCACACTGCAGTACTACTATAACGCCAGACACCAGTATACTGTCTCCTACTGGCCCGACTGCAGTACTCTATACCAGACAACAGTATCTGTCTCCCTACTGGCCACACTGCATACTATAATATACCCAGACACAGTATACTGTCCCTACTGGCCACACTGCAGTACCCTTAACCCAGACACAGTATACTGTCTCCTACTGGCCAACCCTGCAGTACCCACTATAATAACCCGACACAGTAAACTGTCTCCTACGGCCACACTGCGGTACACTATAACCCAGCACACAGTATACTGTCTCCTACTTGCCACAACTGCAGTAACTACTATAACCCCAGACACGTACTGTCCCTACTGGCCCACACTGCGTACTACTATAACCCAGCACAGTAATACTGTCTCCTACTGCCACACTGCAGTACTACTATAAACCCAGACACAGTATAACTGGCTCCTACTGCCAGACTGCAGTACCACTATAACCCAGACAACAGTTATACTGTCTTCTTTCGTACTGCCACACTGCGTACTTACTATAACCCCAGACACAGTATACTGTCTCCTACTGGCCGACTGTAACTGCAGTACCACTTAACCCTACACAGTATACTGTCTCCTTACTGGCCACACTGCAGTACTTACTATAACCGCAACACCAGTATACTGTCTCCTACGGCCACAACTGCATTACTACTAGTAACCCGACACAGTATACTGTCTCCTATTGCCACACTGCAGTAAACCACTATAAAACCCAGACACAATAATACTTCCTCCTACTGGACACACTGGCAGACATATCACCAGCAACAGTATACTGTTCTCCTACTGGCCACACTTCGGTCAGCTACTAAAAAATAACCCAAACACAGTAGACTGTCGCCTATGGCCACACGTGCAGTACTTATTTAACCCGGACACAAGTATACTGGTCCCTACTGGCCACACTGCGTATTACTATAACCCGACACAGTATACTGTCTTCCTACTGCTGCCACCCTCAGTATTAACTATAAAACCCAGACACAGATACTGTCTCCTACTGGCCACAATGCAGTACCACATAACAAGTACACAGTATACTCCTCTCCTACTGGCCACACTGCCATACTACTATACCCAGACACAGTATCGTCTCCTCCTGGCCACACTCAGTACTACTATAACCTCAGACACAGTATACTGTCCTCCTACTGGCCAAACTCTGCAGTACCACTAGAAAACCAGACACAGTATACTCCTCTACTGGCCCACACTGCGGTACTACTATAACCCAGACACAGTATACTGTCTCCTACTCTACTGGCCACACTGCAGTACTACTATAACCCAGACACAGTATACTGTCTCCTACTGGCCACACTGCAGTACTACTATAACCCAGACACAGTATACTGTCTCCTACTGGCCACACTGCAGTACTACTATAACCCAGACACAGTATACTGTCTCCTACTGGCCACACTGCAGTACTGCTATAACCCAGACACAGTATACTGTCTCCTACTGGCCACACTGCAGTAACCCACTTAACCCAGAACCAGTATACTGTCTCTCCTACTGGCACACTGCAGCCCTAATAACCGACACTATACTGTCTCCTACTGGCCACACTGCAGTCCACTATATACCCAGACAACAGATACTGTCCTCCTACTGGCCACACTGCAGTACTACTATAACCCAGACACAGTATACTGTCTCCTACTGGCCACACTGCAGTACTACTATAACCCAGACACAGTATACTGTCTCCTACCTGTCCACACGCGGTACTACTTAAGACCCACTACACAGTATACTGTGCTCCTACTTGCCACACTGCATACATTAACCCAACACAGTAACTGTCTCCTACTGGCCACACTGCAGTACACTATAAAACCGCAGACACAGTATACTGTCTCCCTACTGGCCACACCTGCGTACTACTATAAACCCAGACCCATTATACGTCTCCTGTGCCACTGCAGACATAATATCACAGACACAGTATACTGTCTCCTCCTACTGCCCACACTGCAGACAGATAACCAGAACACAGTATACTGTCTCCTACTGGCCACACTGCAGTACTACTATAACCCAGACACAGTATACTGTCTCCTACTGGCCACACTGCAGACATATAACCCAGACACAGTATACTGTCTCCTACTGGCCACACTGCAGTACTACTATAACCCAGACACAGTATACTGTCTCCTACTGGCCCAACCTGCCGACATATAACTCCTCAGACCATTATAAACCTTGTTCTCCTACTGGCCACACTGCGACATCTAACCCAGAACAGTATAACTGTCTCCTACTGGCCACACGCTCTACTACTATAACCCGACCCGTATACGGTTCTTACTCTTACTGGCCCACACTGGAGACATATAACCCAACACAGCATACTGTCTCCTACTGGCCACACTGCAGTACTACTATAACCCAGACACAGTATACTGTCTCCTACTGGCCACACTGCAGTACCACTATAACCAACCCAGACACAGTAATTGTCTCCCTCCCTACTTGGCCAACACTGCAGACATATAACCCCCCGAACAGTATACTGTCCTCCTACTGGCCACACTGCGGTACTACTATAACCCAGACACAGTATACTGTCTCTACTGGCCACACTGGAGACATATAACCCAGACACAGTATACTGTCTCCTACTGGCCACACTGGAGACATATAACCCAGACACAGTATATTGTCTCCTACTGGCCACACTGCAGTACCACTATAACCCAGACACAGTATACTGTCTCCTACTGGCCACACTGCAGTACTACTATAACCCAGACACAGTATACTGTCTCCTACTGGCCACACTGCAGTACTAAACTATAACCCGACCAGTAATACTGTCCTCCTACTGGGCCCACCTGCAGCACCACTATACCCGACACATATACTGTCTCCTACTGGCCACACTGCAGACATATAACCCAGACACAGTATACTGTCTCCTACTGGCCACACTGCGGTACTACTATAACCCAGACACAGTATACTGTCTCTTACTGGCCACACTGGAGACATATAACCCAGACACAGTATACTGTCTCCCTCCTGTGCACACTGGGACTATAACCCAGACACAGTATACTGGTCTCCTACTGGCCACACTGCAGTACCACTATAACCCAGACACAGTATACTGTCTCCTACTGGCCACACTGCAGTACTACTATAACCCAGACACAGTATACTGTCTCCTACTGGCCACACTGCAGTACTACTATAACCCAGACACAGTATACTGTCTCCTACTGCCACACTGCAGTACCACTATACCCATAACACAGTATACGGTCTCCTACTGTCCACACTGCAGTACTATATAACCCAGACACGTTTACTGTCTCCCTAACTGGCCACCTGCAGACTATAACCCAGACACAGTATACTTGTTCTCCTACCTGGGCCACACTGCAGTACCACTATAACCCAGACACAGTATACTGCCCCCTACTGGCCACACTGCAGTACCACTATAACCCAGACACAGTATACTGTCTCCTACTGGCCACACTGCAGTACCACTAATACCCCAGACACAGTATATACTGTCTCCTACTGGCCACACTGCAGACATATAACCCAGACACAGTATACTGTCTCCTACTGGCCACACTGCAGTACTACTATAACCCAGACACAGTATACTGTCTCCTACTGCCACACTGCAGACATATAACCCAGACACAGTATACTGTCTCCTACTGCCAACTGCGGTACTACTATAACCCAGACACTTTATCTGTCTCCTACGGGCCACACTGCAGTACTCTATAACCCAGCACAGTTACTGTCCTCCTACTCACACTGCCGTACCGACTATAACCCCGACAGCAGTATCTGTCCTCCACTGGCCACACTGAAGTACCACTATAACCCAGACCAGTAACTTGTCTCCTACTGGCCACCCTGCAGTCCACATAACCCAGACACAGTATACTGTCTCCTACTGGCCACACTGCAGTACCACTATAACCCAGACACAGTATACTGTCTCCTACTGGCCACACTGCAGTACTGCTATAACCCAGACACAGTATACTGTCTCCTACTGGCCACACTGCGGTCCACTATAAACCGCAACACAGTATACTGTCTCCTACTGTCCCAACTGCAGACTATAACCCAGACACCGGATACTGTCTCCTACTGGCCACAGCTGCATTACTTACTATATACCCAGAACCAGTATACTGTCTGCCTACTGGCCACACTGCAGTACTTCTATATAAACCCCAGACACAGTTACTGTTTCCTACTGGCCACCTGCGTACTACTATAACCCAGACACATTATAACTGTCTCCACTGCCACACTGCAGACATATAACCAAAAACGAACACAGTATACTGTCTCCCTACTGCCACACGCAGTACTACGTATACCCAACACAGTATACTGGTCTCTACTGGCCACACTGCGGTACTTCCATTAACTGCCAGCCACCATTTTAAAGACGGAGCCTATACCAAACCATTGCTCTTTCATATACTAAAGTCCAAGAGTTAAAAGAATCTTAATTTTGTTGTTTACTATTTCCCCTCCCCTCCCCCTCCCCTCCCACCCTCCCTTCCCTCCCTCCCGCCCTCCCTCCCCTCCCCCTCCCCTACCTCCCTCCCTCCCCCTGAAAAAACCTCCCTCCTCCCTCCCTCCCTCCCTCCCTCCCTCCCTCCCTCCTCCCTCCCCTCCCTCCCTTCCCTCCCTCCCTCCCTCCCTGCCCCTCCCCTCCCTCCCTTACTCCCTCCCTCCCCCTCCCCTCCCCTCCCCCTCCCCCCTCCCTACCCCTCCCTCCCTCCCTCCCCTTCCTCCCTCCTCCCTCCCCTCCCCCTCCCCTTCACCTCCCCTCCCCTCCCTCCCTCCCTCCTCCCCTAGCCCCAGGAGCTGACTGACATCCTAGATATCAGTAATCTAGTGTTCACCAGTCTCTTTAGTCTGGAGATGCTGCTGAAGCTGCTGGCCTTTGGACTCTTCGGCTATATCAACAACCCATACAACAGTTTTGACAGCGTCATCGTCATCATCAGGTGTGTGATTCTGTGTTTTCGGGAAATATTTGAATGTAGCATGCACCAAACATTTTCCAGGATTTAATGCTTGGTGCTCAACTAGCTGTATCTTGCGGCTCGATACTAAACTAGCTGTATCTTGCTGCTCGATGCTAATCTAGCTGTATCTTGCTGCTCGATGCTAATCTAGCTGTATCTTGCTGCTCGATGCTAAACTAGCTGTAATCTGTGCTGCTCGACGCTAAACTAGCTGTATCTGCTGCTCGATGCTAAACTAGCTGTATCTTGCTGCTCGATGCTAAACTAGCTGTATCTTGCTGCTCGATGCTAAACTAGCTGTATCTTGCTGCTCGATGCTAAACTAGCTGTATCTTGCTGCTCGATGCTAAACTAGCTATAATTTGGTGCTTGATACTAAGCTCGCTATAACTTCCTGTTCGATTGCTAAGCTCGCTATAACTTCCTGTTCAATTGCTAAGCTAGCTATAACTTACCGCTCGATGCTAACCCATAAGGAAAAATAATATATTGATATACATATTGATAAAAATACAAATGTAAAATACAGATATCTAAATATAAACTATATATACAAAAGTATGTGGATAACCCTTCAAATTAGTGGATTCGGCTATATCAGCCACACCCGTTGCTGACAAGCTTATAAAATCGAGCACCGCCGCCATGCAATCTCCATAGACAAACATTTACAGTAGAATGGCCCATACTGAAGAGCTTAGTGACTTTCAGCGTGGCACCGTCATAGGATGCCCTGATAGAGCTGCCCCGGGTCAACTGTAAGGGCTGTTATTGTGAAGTGGAAACGTCTAGGATCAACAACGGCTCAGCCTTGAAGTGGTAGGCCACACCAAGCTCACAGAACGGCACCGCCGAGTGCTGAAGTGGTAGGCCACACCAAGCTCACAGAACGGGACCGCCGAGTGCTGAAGTGGTAGGCCACACCAAGCTCACAGAACGGCACCGCCGAGTGCTGAAGTGGTAGGCCACACCAAGCTCACAGAACGGCACCGCCGAGTGCTGAAGTGGTAGGCCACACAAGCTCACAGAACGGCACCGCCGAGTGCTGAAGCGGTAGGCCACACCAAGCTCACAGAACGGCACCGCCGAGTGCTGAAGCGGTAGGCCACACCAAGCTCACAGAACGGGACCGCCGAGTGCTGAAGTGGTAGGCCACACCAAGCTGACAGAACGGCACCGCCGAGTGCTGAAGTGGTAGGCCACACCAAGCTCACAGAACGGGACCGCCGAGTGCTGAAGCGGTAGGCCACACCAAGCTGACAGAACGGCACCGCCGAATGCTGAAGCGGTAGGCCACACCAAGCTGACAGAACGGCACCGCCGAGTGCTGAAGTGGTAGGCCACACCAAGCCCACAGAACGGCACCGCCGAGTGCTGAAGCGTAGGCCACACCAAGCCCACAGAACGGCACCGCCGAGTGCTGAAGTGGTAGGCCACACCAAGCTCACAGAACGGCACCGCCGAGTGCTGAAGCGGTAGGCCACACCAAGCCCACAGAACGGCACAGCCGAGTGCTGAAGTGGTAGGCCACACCAAGCTCACAGAACGGCACCGCCGAGTGCTGAAGCGGTAGGCCACACCAAGCCCACAGAACGGCACCGCCGAGTGCTGAAGCGGTAGGCCACACCAAGCTCACAGAACGGGACCGCCGAGTGCTGAAGTGGTAGGCCACACCAAGCCCACAGAACGGCACCGCCGAGTGCTGAAGTGGTAGGCCACACCAAGCTCACAGAACGGCACCGCCTAGTGCTGAAGCGGTAGGCCACACCAAGCTGACAGAACGGCACCGCCGAGTGCTGAAGTGGTAGGCCACACCAAGCTCACAGAACGGGACCGCCGAGTGCTGAAGCGGTAGGCCACACCAAGCTGACAGAATGGCACCGCCGAGTGCTGAAGCGGTAGGCCACACCAAGCTGACAGAACGGCACCGCAGAGTGCTGAAGTGGTAGGCCACACCAAGCCCACAGAACGGCACCGCCGAGTGCTGAAGCGGTAGGCCACACCAAGCCCACAGAACGGCACCGCCGAGTGCTGAAGCGGTAGGCCACACCAAGCTCACAGAACGGCACCGCCGAGTGCTGAAGCGGTAGGCCACACCAAGCCCACAGAACGGCACCGCCGAGTGCTGAAGTGGTAGGCCACACCAAGCTCACAGAACGGCACCGCCGAGTGCTGAAGCGGTAGGCCACACCAAGCTCACAGAACGGCACCGCCGAGTGCTGAAGCGGTAGGCCACACCAAGCTGACAGAACGGCACCGCCGAGTGCTGAAGTGGTAGGCCACACCAAGCTCACAGAACGGGACCGCCGAGTGCTGAAGCGGTAGGCCACACCAAGCTGACAGAACGGCACCGCCGAGTGCTGAAGCGGTAGGCCACACCAAGCTGACAGAACGGCACCGCAGAGTGCTGAAGTGGTAGGCCACACCAAGCCCACAGAACGGCACCGCCGAGTGCTGAAGCGGTAGGCCACACCAAGCCCACAGAACGGCACCGCCGAGTGCTGAAGCGGTAGGCCACACCAAGCTCACAGAACGGCACCGCCGAGTGCTGAAGTGGTAGGCCACACCAAGCCCACAGAACGGCACCGCCGAGTGCTGAAGCATAGCGTAGCGCGTCAAGATCGTCTGTCCTTGGTTGCAACACTCTGGAAGTAACGTCAGCACAGTAACTGTTTGGTCGGGAGCTTCATGAAATGGGTTTCCATGGCAGAGCAGCTGCACACAAGCCTAAGATCACCATGAGCAATGCCAAGCGTCGGCTGGAGTGGTGTAAAACTCGCCCGCCGTTGGACTCATTCTCTGGAGTGATGAATCACGCTTCACCATCTGGCAGTCTGACGGACTAATCTGGGTTTGGCGGATGCCAGGAGAACGCTACCTGCCCCCAATGCATAGAGCCAGCTGTAAAGTTTGGTGGAGGAGGAATAATGGTCTGGGGCTGTTTTTCATTGTTCGGGCTAGGCCCATTAGTTCCAGTGAAGGGAAATCTTAACGCTACAGCATACAATGACATTCTAGACGATTCTGTGCTTCCAAACTTTGTGGCAAACAGTTTGGGGAAGGACCTTTCCTGTTTCAGCATGACAATGCCCCCCGTGCACAACGCGAGGTCCATACAGAAATGGTTTGTCGAGACCCGGTGTGTGGAAGAACTTGACTAGCCTGCACAGAGCCCTGACCTCAACCCCAGTGGAATAACTACACTGGCACAATAGAACGCTGTGCTATACTTTGAAAAGTCTGAACGAATGACTGACGACTGACCAAATAGCCATGACGCTTTCTGTGTTTCTCTCACAAAGTGTTTGGGAGATCGTTGGGCAGGTCGGACGGCGGTCTGTCAGTAATGTGTGTGTGTTGTGTCCTAGTGTTTGGGAGATCGTTGGGCAGGTCGGACGGTGGTCTGTCAGTAATGTGTGTGTGTTGTGTCCTAGTGTTTGGGAGATCGTTGGGCAGGTCGGACGGCGGTCTGTCAGTAATGTGTGTGTGTTGTGTCCTAGTGTTTGGGAGATCGTTGGGCAGGTCGGACGGCGGTCTGTCAGTAATGTGTGTGTGTTGTGTCCTAGTGTTTGGGAGATCGTTGGGCAGGTCGGACGGCGGTCCTGTCAGTAATGTGTGTGTGTTGTGTCCTAGTGTTTGGGAGATCGTTGGGCAGGTCGGACGGCGGTCTGTCAGTAATGTGTGTGTGTTGTGTCCTAGTGTTTGGGAGATCGTTGGGCAGGTCGGACGGCGGTCTGTCAGTAATGTGTGTGTGTTGTGTCCTAGTGTTTGGGAGATCGTTGGGCAGGCGGACGGCGGTCTGTCAGTAATGTGTGTGTGTTGTGTCCTAGTGTTTGGGAGATCGTTGGGCAGGTCGGACGGCGGTCTGTCAGTAATGTGTGTGTGTTGTGTCCTAGTGTTTGGGAGATCGTTGGGCAGGTCGGACGGCGGTCTGTCAGTAATGTGTGTGTGTTGTGTCCTAGTGTTTGGGAGATCGTTGGGCAGGTCGGACGGCGGTCTGTCAGTAATGTGTGTGTGTTGTGTCCTAGTGTTTGGGAGATCGTTGGGCAGGCAGACGGCGGTCTGTCGGTCCTGCGTACCTTCCGTCTCCTACGGGTCCTAAAGCTGGTCAGGTTCCTGCCCGCCCTGCGCAGACAGCTGGTGGTTCTGATGAAGACCATGGACAACGTAGCCACCTTCTGCATGCTCCTCATGCTGTTCATCTTCATCTTCAGGTATGTAGATACCTTCTGATGCTCAAGGTCTACATCTTCATATTCAGGTATGTAGATACCTTCTGCTGCTCAAGGTCTACATCTTCATATTCAGGTATGTAGATACCTTCTGCTGCTCGAGGTCTACATCTTCAGGTATGTAGATTCCTTCTGCTGCTCGAGGTCTTCATATTCAGGTATGTAGATACCTTCTGCTGCTCGAGGTCTACATATTCAGGTATGTTGTCAGGTCTTAGATGACTTGATGATACAGTATTAGCTGAATAACTGGAGGCGTGTAGCATTGCATTCCCATTGAGCCTCGTGTCTCATTAATCTATATATCATGTGTGTGTGTGTGTGTGTATATAATGTGTGTGTGTATATAATGTGTGTGTGTATATAATGTGTGTATATAATGTGTGTGTGTATATGATGTGTGTGTATATAATGTGTGTGTATATAATGTGTGCATATATAATATGTGTGTGTATATAATGTGTGTGTATATAATGTGTGTGTGTATATAATGTGTGTGTATATAATGTGTGTATATAGTGTGTGTGTGTGTATATAATGTGTGTGTGTATATAATGTGTGTGTATAATGTGTGTGTATAGAATGTGTGTATATAATGTTTGTGTATATAATGTGTGTATAGAATGTGTGTGTATATATAATATGTTTGTATATAATGTGTATTTATAATGTGTGTGTGTATATAATGTGTGTTTATAATGTGTGTGTGTGTATATAATGTGTGTGTATATAATGTGTGCATATATAATATGTGTGTGTATATAATGTGTGTGTGTGTATATAATGTGTGTGTGTATATAATGTGTGTGTGTGTGTATATATAGTGTGTGTATATCAATCAAATTCAATCAGTCAAATTTTATTTATAAAGCCCTTTTTACATCAGCAGATGTCACAAAGTGCTTATACAGAAACCCAGCCTAAAACCCCAAACAGCAAGCAATGCAGATGTAGAAGCACGGTGGCTAGGAATAACTCCCTAGAAAGGCAGGAACCTAGGAAGAAACCTAGAGAGGAACCAGGCTTTGAGGGGTGGTCAGTCCCCTTCTGGCTGTGCCGGGTTGAGATTATAACAGTACATGGCCATTAAGGCCAGATTTTTCTCCAAGATGTTCAAATGTTCATAGATGACCAGCAGGGTCAAATGTATATATATTGTGGGTATACAGTGGGGTGAACAAGTATTTGATACACTGCCGATTTTGCAGGTTTTCCTACTTACAAAGCATGTAGAGGTCTGTAATTTTTTATCATAGGTACACTTCAACTGTGAGAGACGGAATCTAAATCAAAAATCCAGAAAATCACATTGTATGATTTTTAAGTAATTCATTTTCATTTTATTGTATGACATAAGTATTTGATCACCTACCAACCAGTAAGAATTCCTGCTCTCACAGACCTGTTAGTTTTTCTTTAAGAAGCCCTCCTGTTCTCCACTCATTACCTGTATTAACTGCACCTGTTTGAACTCGTTACCTGTATAAAAGACACCTGTCCACACACTCAATCAAACAGACTCCAACCTCTCCACAATGGCCAAGACCAGAGAGCTGTGTAAGGACATCAGGGATACAATTGTAGACCTGCACAAGGCTGGGATGGGCTACAGGACAATAGGCAAGCAGCTTGGTGAGAAGGCAACAACTGTTGGCGCAATTATTAGAAAATGGTTCAAGATGTCGGTCAATCACCCTCGGTCTGGGGCTCCATGCAAGATCTCACCTCGTGGGGCATCAATGATCATGAGGAAGGTGAGGGATCAGCCCAGAACTACATGACAGGACCTGGTCAATGACCTGAAGAGAGCTGGGACCACAGTCTCAAAGAAAACCATTAGTAACACACTACGCCGTCATGGATTAAAATCCTGCAGCGCACGCAAGGTCCCCCTGCTCAAGCCAGCGCATGTCCAGGCCCGTCTGAAGTTTGCCAATGACCATCTGGATGATCCAGAGGAGGAATGGGAGAAGGTCATGTGGTCTGATGAGACAAAAATATAGCTTTTTGTTCTAAACTCCACTCGCCGTGTTTGGAGTAAGAAGAAGGATGAGTACAACCCCAAGAACACCATCCCAACCGTGAAGCATGGAGGTGGAAACATCATTCTTTGGGGATGCTTTTCTGCAAAGGGGACAGGACGACTGCACCGTATTGAGGGGAGGATGGATGGGGCCATGTATCGTGAGATTTTGGCCAACAACCTCCTTCCCTCAGTAAGAGCATTGAAGATGGGTCGTGGCTGGGTCTTCTCGCATGACAACGACCTGAAACACATAGCCAGGGCAACTAAGGAGTGGCTCCGTAAGAAGCATCTCAAGGTCCTGGAGTGGCCTAGCCAGTCTCCAGACCTGAACCCAATAGAAAATCTTTGGAGGGAGCTGAAAGTCCGTATTGCCCAGCGACAGCCCCGAAACCTGAAGGATCTGGAGAAGGTCTGTATAGAGGAGTGGGCCAAAATCCCTGCTGCAGTGTGTGCAAACCTGGTCAAGACCTACAGGAAACGATGATCTCTGTAATTGCAAACAAAGGTTTCTGTACCCAATATTAAGTTTCTGCTTTTCTGATGTATCAAATACTTATGTCAGGCAATAAAATGCAATTAATTACTAAAAATTCATACAATGTGATTTTCTGGATTGTTGTTTTAGATTCCGTCTCTCACAGTTGAAGTGTACCTATGATAAAAATTACAGACCTCTACATGCTTTGTAAGTAGGAAAACCTTGCCAAATCGGCAGTTTATCAAATACTTGTTCTCCCCACTGTATATAATGTGTGTATATATAATGTGTGTATATAATGTGTGTATATTTTGTGTGTATATATAATGTTGTGTATATATAATGTGTGTGTATATATAATATGTGTGTGTGGTTATCTATAATGTGTGTGTATATAATGTTGTGTCTATAAATGTGTGTATATATAATGTGGTCATATATAATGTTTGTATATATAGTGTGTGTGATTTTTTTATAATGTTTGTGTATATAATGTTGTGTATTATCATGTGTGTGTATATATAATGTGTGTGTATATAATGTGTGTGTATATATAATGTTGTGTGTATATAATGTGTGTGTGTATATAATGTTGTGTATATAAGTTGTGTAATATAATGTTGTGTATATAATGTGTGTGTATATATAATGTTGTGTGTATATAATGTGTGTGTGTATATAATGTTGTGTATATAATGTTGTGTATATAATGTTGTGTATATAATGTGTGTGTATATATAATGTTGTGTATATAATGTGTGTATATATAATGTGTGTGTATATATAATGTTGTGTATATAATGTGTGTTATATATAATGTTGTGTATATAATGTGTTTGTATATATAATGTGTGTGTATATAATGTTGTGTATATAATGTGTGTGTATATATAATGTTGTGTATATAATGTGTGTGTATATATAATGTTGTGTATATAATGTTGTGTATATAATGTGTGTATATATAATGTTGTGTATATAATGTGTGTGTATATATAATGTTGTGTATATAATGTTGTGTATAATGTGTGTGTATATATAATGTTGTGTATATAATGTGTGGTATATATAATTGTGTGATTTGTGTGTTTAATGTTTAATGTTGTGTATATAATGGTGTGTATATATAATTTGTGTTTGTTGTATATAATGGTGTGTGTATATAATGTTGTGTATATAATGTGTGTGTATATATAATGTTGTGTATATAATGTGTGTGTATATATAATGTTGTGTATATAATGTTGTGTATATAATGTGTGTATATATAATGTTGTGTATATAATGTGTGTGTATATATAATGTTGTGTATATAATGTGTGTGTATATATAATGTTGTGTATATATAATGTGTGTGTATATATAATGTTGTGTATATAATGTGTGTGTATATATAATGTTGTGTATATAATGTTGTGTATATAATGTGTATATATAATGTTGTGTATATAATGTGTGTGTATATATAATTTTGTGTATATAATGTTGTGTATATAATGTGTGTATAAATAATGTTGTGTATATAATGTGTGTGTATATATAATGTTGTGTATATATAATGTGTGTGTATATAATGTTGTGTATATAATGTGTGTGTATATATAATGTTGTGTATATAATGTGTGTGTATATATAATGTTGTGTATATAATGTGTGTACATATAATGTTGTGTATATAATGTGTGTGTATATATAATGTTGTGTATATATAATGTGTGTGTATATATAATGTTGTGTATATAATGTGTGTGTATATATAATGTGTGTATATAATGTTGTGTATATATTGTTGTGTATATAATGTGTGTGTATATAATGTGTGTGTATATAATGTGTGTGTATATAATGTTGTGTGTATATAATGTTGTGTGTATATAATGTGTGTGTGTATATATAATGTTGTGTGTATATAATGTGTGTGTGTATATAATGTTGTGTATATAATGTTGTGTATATAATGTGTGTGTATATAATGTTGTGTATATAATGTGTGTGTATATATAATGTTGTGTATATAATGTGTGTGTGTATATAATGTTGTGTATATAATGTGTGTGTATATATAATGTTGTGTATATAATGTGTGTGTATATATAATGTGTGTGTATATAATGTGTGTATATAATGTTGTGTATATAATGTTGTGTATATAATGTGTGTGTATATAATGTTGTGTATGTAATGTGTGTATATAATGTGTGTATATATAATGTTGTGTATATAATGTGTGTGTATATAATGTTGTATATATAATGTTGTGTATATAATGTTGTGTATATAATGTGTGTATATATAATGTGTGTGTATATAATGTGTGTGTATATAATGTGTGTGTATATAATGTGTGTGTATATATAATGTTGTGTATATAATGTTGTGTATATAATGTGTGTGTATATAATGTTGTGTATATAATGTGTGTGTATATATAATGTTGTGTATATAATATGTGTGTATATAATGTGTGTGTGTATATAATGTTGTGTATATAATGTTG